ATCTAAAGTTTGCATGTTTTCTATAAGAGAGGCCTGAGACCAGGATTAGCTAGCACCAACTCACTGTTGTAATGGTCACAGGAGAGAGTGCTGGTTAGCTGTGCATGTTGGATAAATCCTTGTATAAAATCTTATTTGTCTTTGTGGAAAAGGTTAATGACAATGTACTTTGCCTGCATCACAAGCAATAAATGTAGGCATGTTAAATATAAACAGGAAGAACAGTTAGGATAAATATTTATTTCTGGATAACATTTCTTGAGTCATGAAAAAACAATACTCTATTCATGTTTACACTTAAAACATTTTAATAAATTACATCCAAGAAATTAAGCAGTTTGATCTGGAAATGGGAAATTAAAAGTAAATATGCTACTGCCAGTTGCATTTTACTCTCTTATTGTGATTTGAAAATGTTGAGATTGATACACAAAAACAGGATATCTGTTTTAAAAAAGAGCCCTCCAAAATATTGAACAGCAATACTGCAGAATAATTCAGTCCATGAATTTTTAGTGTCCAGAAAGCTGAGCAGATTGTTCTGCACATTAGCATTTTAAAAAAAATATTACCAGCAGTCTCTCTTCATGGACCACTCTGCATTTCATGGCTATTAAGAGACTCACTTGGAATGTTACAAGGGATCATCCAGTACACAATGACAAAGCATTTTAATCTTATCAGAGTCATACTTCTATCTAAATTTATCCATACATTTTAGTCAATGTGGTTTTTTTTTTCTTTGAAGTTTATCATTTGCATAACATGAATTTGAGGAATTTAGACAACACCGAGAGCCTGCTAATACTGGGCATCAAAAATAACTTCAGAAGCAATGCTTTTCATTATGTATATCTAATTTTTGCCTACTTTTGGCACAAAAGCAGCTGCTGTGATAATGTGTTCAAAGCACAAGGCATATGGAATTGAGTAGCCTAGACTCTTACTCTGCGATCACTGTCGAAAGTGTAGCCTGCGCAGATGGATGAGGCCCGTTTCTCAGTGCAGCCATTCCCAAGCTCCTGCAATTGAATGGATGCTGTGAATCTGACACACATGGCTCTTAAGGCTACAACTTTGTTGCCAAAGGCAAGAATACATTCTCTTCTAGCTGATGATAGAAGAGAAATGTCTACGGCAAGGCCTTGGCTCCTTAAGCTTGGTTTTTCCATCCGCAAGGTGGAATTAACACCACAGACTTCCTACTTGAACAGGCAAGAGAGAAAAAAACTGAAGCTGGTGGGTGCATTTGACTACAACCATAGCAGATGTTCTACAAGGATGGCAAATTATGGCCCCTTTATGACTTGTGGACTTCAACTCCCAGAATTCCTGAACCAGCCATGCTCAGGAATTCTGGGAATTGAAGTCTAGACTACATAGTTCCCAACCCCTGTTCTACAGGAAAGACCAGAATCTATATTGCTGCTGCTTGGTCCTGTTAAGTGGATCTAATGGGGTGGGAGGTTGTACAGAAGGAGGAAGCCTTCCATACACAAACTGTGTTTAAAAGGTATGCTAAAAAAGGCCGTTTCCATATTGTAAAAAGAACTGTGCCTTTTTTTCTGTCCTGGAAAAATCCCTATTCTTTGGTCCTGTGTTCCTGTCATCATGTACTGTATATGCTTTGAAGTTTATGATCCTTTGGAGAGAAACAGGCACAAATGCTTCGTCTAAAGATTTCCATTTGTTTCTTGCACAGACCTAACTTCATGTATGGCACCCACTCCAACATTTCAATTGAGAAGTCTGTTCGACAACTGCAATCTTTCCAGGTCCCCGATTAGCAAACAAGAATCGGGGCTAGTTCTTATCACTGATTCTGCCTCCTTATTCTCTTCTAGCTATGCAAGCCTTGCTGCTCACAGCTGTGACCATATCTGGCAGCAGAACTCAGCTGAGGATTCTTCCCATGTTAGCGGCAACTTGGAACTTGAAAAAACCTGAATGTTGAAATCTTATAGGTATATTTTCCTGATTCTTGTAACCACTGGTGAGCTTGTAAGATCTGATCTTTTGTTAATGTCCTCCCCACAAAAAAGCTAAAAAATATATAAACTTTTTCAAAAAATGTTTGATATTGCCCTTTTATTTTACTCACAACACATTCATTCTCACAGGTGCTTGGGGCATTTGTTTTCTCTTGCCATCTGCCTTCACGTAATGAGACCATTCTCTTCTACAGATTGGCCAACCAGCTAGACTGACAAAAAAACAAAACCCCAGTCTCGCAGCCTCCTTCACGAATATGCAACCACAGGTTGCTTATGCAAATTCCAAACATGAGCAACTAATGGGTTTGGCTATGGGGAGAATCATTATGGTGAGAGTGCCCTAAGGAAATTGTGCCCAGGCACACTACTAAAACTAGGACTCCATATACTTGGCATGGCTGCATTTGACCACAGCTGAAAATGGCCAAGAATGGGGAGCTGTCCAGCACATGCACATGCTTGAAATTGTTTTCTAGGATGAAAATATGTAGTTTGGTTATCATAAATATTCAAGACAATAATAATATTATATGGCTTCTACAGAAAGAGTGTGGATTCCAAATACATGAAACTATTAAGAAAGACTGAACATACATTTGTGCAGAACGGAGACCTGATCAGTAACAGCCATGTCCATAAATGTTAACACTTTTATTTCATATTAGGAGTCTGACTTCAAACTTAATTAGCAAGGGGAAATAAATGAAATTACAATCAAATCACGCCTTGGTCCCATTGGTATAAAAAAATACATGCTTGAACAATTAGCCTGAAATGAATCGGTCTTAAAAATTTAACTATGGACGGATTGTGCCTGGAAGCATGCACTTGAGGGAAAATTAGATGCAATTGCCCTATTGATTACTCTGGATCATTTTTACTGATAATTTCTGTCAAAGATTATCATCCAGAAAGTTAGGGAAAAAATAAGTATTATTTATCTCCACAATGCAGCTGTTGGACTTACCACTGCAACATTTAGTACAGTACAGTATAAGATACAATAGTAACAGCTTGCATTCACAACAAATATTGTACGGATAGTGCACATCGATGGATGTGGCTTTTTTTCCCAACAAGATGAGAGAATGTTAACTATATTCTATATATCTTTATATTATATTATACTGTTTTATTTTTCCAGTTATATATAAATTTAAATATTAAATATCCAGTATTAAATCAAGGAAATTGCACAAATATAAGTCTCATCCTGTAAATCACACACCCACACATACAATCATACGCCCACACACACAAGCCATGATTTTAAACTTGGGGGTAGGTAACTCATTAGAATGTTATCAGTTTGGAGGATTAAAGCACTTATTGTTGAAAAATAGCTCTAAAAATGAATTTTTCTTTGTTACTTTTAGGTTTCTGAAACAATTGGCCCCAAACTATACAATTCTTCAATTGTAGGAATATGGATTCAATAACTAAATCTTTTATTCAGAGGAATAAAGATTATTTCCAGTTTTTTTTGTTCTTGTTTTGCTTTGTTTTCTTCTGGTATGGAAAAGCTATCGAAATCAGTCACATAGGCAAAGTAGGAAAATATGCCCAACTCTACAGAGAGGTTGGAATGGAAACACTGGTTCACATATCCCAAGGGTTTGAACTGTGGAGACCTAACACGGTTTCATTGGCTAACCCGATTTTCTGCATTGCTTTGGCCAGAACCAAAGAGCAGGCAATGAACTGAAGCACATACTGCACGACTTACATTATACCAGTGCTACTGTGAGATGATGCACACGATGTACAAGGGGGCAATCAAATCTGGAACATTAATGATTGCGGTACTCCTGCATTTCTCTCTCTCTTTTTTAAACAAACACACTGAAGAGCAAGTCACAGACAAGTCTCACGATCCACACCTTTCCCTGAGTCAGCTTTCTTCTCTCGTCGGCCTTCAGTGCTAGTTCGGGAAGAAGAGAGAAAGAAATAAGTTGAACAGTTGTATTCCCACAATGCCTCATTTTGGGGACTGAGTAAATGAAGCAGCTCGTTTCCCCCCCTGGCCCCCCGGCCCTCATGCTATCAGGCTATGCTCTCATGCTACACTGTTCAGTCTGGGATATAAGAACAGAAATGGGACTACTATTTGTGGATTATGATTACAAAGAAAACTGTCAACATCACAGATCAATAAGGAAGGAGGCAACAGAGATATTTAAAAAACTGACATACAAATCTACATGCACAAGGACAAAAAAAGGATAAAGTACATTGCATGAGGGTCAAACGGCAATGAAAATGTCTCGTGCAAATAACAATGGACAAGGTATTTTATTTGCAGAAACAAGAGAACTTCATCCAATTTATTTGCATTATTATTATCATCATTTATTGTCATGACTGTTAGACAGGTGGGAACAAAAGTGTCAATCAGTCAATATGTACAGGTGCAAAATGATTTCTATCGTTTAATAATTGAATGCAACATTAAGAAAAAATATCATATTGTTGGGAGTGGGGATGAAAAAAAAATAGATGTGCAATATTTACAACACAACATAAGCAGGAAGCCTTACTTGAAAGCTTATTCATTCTGTATTTGCGCAATAAATAATATAATTCAAGCCTACTTTGAGGATATTGAATTTAGTAGCTGGAACAGTAAAGAGTACAATGAAAGAAGACACAGTTGTAGTTGATAAGTTAGAAAGTGCTGACTCATGCATGAGGCAATCTACGCTATGATTGGTTGCTGTAAATATAAGGGGTTTCCCTTTTTCCCCACCTTTTTTCTTTTGTGTGTTCTGCATACTGTTTTAGATTTACCTCATGATATGCCCGTGTTCCTGACTATATTGTGTCTTTCTGAATGATGACAAGGACTGCTATAAATTTGAATGAATATATATATACAAATTTGTGTTAGTTTCTCCAACTTCATCTGGACAGCTGCTGTGTAATTCCATGACACCTACTCTATCATTTGCTTCTATAAATCAAGAAATCTATAATATCATTTTCTCATGTTCATGCATTTATTGATACTCTGCTGAAAAGCAAACATTTATTTTACACAGCTCTTCCAGGCATGAAGATTAAATTTGTGGTCTCATAGCGTCTCAATCATTTTTTTTTCAACAATTTCCCAAATACATTTATTTGCCTGTTGTTCTGTTATGCCCTCTTACTAACCTTCCTTTTGTTTTTAGGAATGATTACAGTATTTTTCCATTAATTAATCTGCAAAACCTTACCAACCATATCTTAGCATTTTCTTCAGTTAGATCATCCACTTCTGCAACTTTACCACTTTTCAGAATGTTCGCCACATACAAGACTACCTTTTCCTTACTTTTTTCTTGGTATTTCTTCTTTCTTGGTATTTGTTTTAATTTCACTCTTCAGCATATTGTTATCATTCTCATACAAATCTCTAAAACACTCATTCCACCATCATTTTATCATTTTTAATTCCATTTATTCTGCTGGATATCCTTTTCACTGTAAAAGTTTTGTATTTGCATGAAAGTTGAACTTTGTTTATTTTAGTCTTCACTATCACTTGCTTTCTTTGCTACTGTTTTTCTCTGTATAGACATTGTCTAATATTTTTCACTTCTTTGTTTTAGAAGTAATTGTTCTCTTATGTTCATTTTTTCTCATCCATGGCAACTTTCACTTCTTTCCCTCTTCAATACTGTTTTTCATGCTATCCATTCCAGTTACTTCAGTAATACTCAATAATATAATTCTGTTTACTTTGTTCTAAATATCTTCCACATCCTTTTCCTTACATCCACATTCATTTTGCCATGATATTGATCTAATTTTTTTTCACAGAGGATTTGTACTTTCTTTTTCTAAAGTTATTCTACTTTCATTCACTCTTCAGTGAATTTCTTTCATTTCTCCCTTTGTGTGTATGTCCAGTCTTGACATTACCAATCAATGGTCTGTCCCATCTTTAAAATATTTCATCATTTTATTCTCCATGAATTATCTCAAAATTTCATAATAAACTATCAAATAAATTAGCTGTTTATATCTATTTTTATTCCTTTGTTGCATGTATTCATGAATAGACTAAAACTTAAACCACACATTCAAAACAGATCTTTTTCTATGCGGATACTTGAAAAATAGTCATCATTGTTATTCTATTTGTATTCAAATGGTGCAATATTTTTTTTTCTGCATCACCTTGCCGTGTCTCCAACCACCCATGTGGTTTATGTCACTTAACAAAATAATTATGCTTCCCTCCATCATATCTGTTACATAATTTCCACTACATCAGAACTGAAATCAGTCAATTACCATCATTCCCTGGCATGTAATATGCTGTTATCACAATCCTAAACAACTTCACAGCAACTAAATAACACTAATCCATACTTACTGATTTACAGTAAGTGTGGTTTACATTTTATCTCTTTTACTGATTTACATTATATCCCTTTCATTCATAATCAAATTACAGCTTAATTTTTGGCCACGTATTCATCAACTCCAGTCTCCTAGATCAGTCCACCTTTATTCAATCTGTTCCACATCTGTTCCTATTTTCCATTCTTTCTCTTCATATCTATTATTTTTTACTTCATTACTTTCATTCATGGTCTGTGGCATTTGCTATTACATTGTACATAGCTATTTTCCATATGCTAGGGTTAGCATTAGAAGGGGCCACTAAATATTGACTTCTACTGCCTATCATAGTTTTGATCATATGAAGCGTTCACATAATGCATTTTCATAAGATGAGACTATGTGGATTGTTACCAGCCTTAGCTATTCTTCTGCCATAAATATTGCTCCCTGCTAATAGTAAGGGCAGTATGCAGAATTTTGGCAGATTTTGGTCAGTATATTACTGGCATAACCAAGGCCCAGTTTCACCTCTAGGAACTAGATAGTGTGTTGCAATCCAACAGACCGGTCCTGCATTCTAACAACCAGGCCCTTTCAGAATCTAACAAGAGAAGATGGGCAATTCATAGCACTCTACTACAGAAGGAGCTCTTTTGAAAAGACGCTGTTCTGTTACACTTCTGTTGTTCTTGGTATATAATCTAACTTCACCATTTCCTGTCAGCCCAGACTTTTCTCTTGTCACTGAAGCTCACAGAATAACAGAAGATCTCCTAGTCTAACCTCTTGCTCAAGCAGGAGATCCTCCACCATTTCGGACAAATGCCCAATTTCTGGAGGCAAGTTGTTCCACTGATTAATTGTTCTAACTGTCGGGAAATTTCTCTTAAGCTATTAAAAGAGCAGCTTGCAGGAAGACATTTGAGAGCTAATTATTGTTTAGATTCCCAAGGAATCTTTAAAAAGTTACCCTAACTCATACTTTCAGAAGTCAGGAAAATGGCCGGATGGGAGAATAGTTTGAACCTTTCCTCCCACCTTGGCGAAGTATGGTGGTGGCAATCTCCATCAAGGATCAAAATGGCACAAAAGTTAGTTGGGTGTGAGTCTATCTTTCATCCAAGGTAGTCTTGGACCACAGCTATTCGCCTAGAGTCAAGATGGGCGTCTGTTGGGGACTGGGGGCTATTTTTCAGCCTATTTTCCAGAGAGTTGCAGCATGAAAGCATTGGGTGGGAGATGAATATTGTTTTGAGTTTATTTTATGTTTGTGAATGGTAATGATGGTGCTGAAAAGAGGGAATGAAAGCAGGACGGCACCCGGAGCTGTCTGCTTCTCTTCCCATCCTTACTTTTTTGGGGAAAAAAGAAACATTCTTCCCTTCATGAAGAAAAAAAAAATCACCAGTGACCATGCTGATTGCACCATGAGGCTGATCCTGGTCTGAAATTATGCTGTTGCAGCATCTCACCCAATGGAATGTATGAATTAATCTCAACCATGGATATATCATCTTGTTTATGCTGCTGAGGGAGAAGGAGGTATGGCCAAACCAGCATGCTATTTTGGGGTGACAAAATACCAAGACTCAATCTGACGTCTTTCATTCCTGCTACTTTATTAAAGTGAAGGATTGTGGCTAATTCCAGTATCTCTTCCAAGTTTCATGGGTCAGTGTTATGCCCGATATTGGGTAAAATGAAGCGGAGTGCATTCACACAGTTTTCCAAATGTGCTTTTTGTATCCTTTTGAAATGCATTTTGTCTCCCCAAAATTTACACACAGCATGTTTGTGAACATTTCAAAAGATACCACACAGTAACAATCAAGACAAAGGTTTGGGGAAAGAATCTTACCTTTGGGAAATCAGCTTCTAGAGATTAGGAAGGGGAGCTTATGGTAGGAATGTGGTAATGGAACAATCAAGTAGAAAACCATGTTAATTCAGAAGGAATAGTAACTGAGGGAACAGTAGTTAAACAAGACTGCACTGACCTCGGCATACAGAGATTATCACACAAATAAATCTGCCTTTTACCCAGAGGCAGGGGTGGACTGCTACCGATTTGCCCGGTTCACTTGAACCGGTAGCTAGTTTTATCATTTTTAATGACCGGTTCGGTGAACCAGTAAATCCCACCCCTGGCTGGCCCCGCCCACTCTGCCCCTCCCAGGAGTCTCCATGTGGCCCATTTTGGATGCCAGGTAAGCATAGGGCCCAAGCAGAGGCTTGGGGAGGGCAAAAAACACGCCTCCAGAGGGCCTCTGGAGCCCGAGGAGGCCATTTTCGTGCTCTTGGAGGCTTGAAAAGGCCTCCTGAGCCTGGGGAGGGTGAAAACGGCCCCTCTGCCATGGTGCACAAGGCCAACTAGGCCATGCCTACTGTGGCCATGCCCACCCAGCAACTGGGCAGAGAACCAGTTGCTAAAATTTTTGAAGCCCACCCCTATCCAGAGGCCTAGCAGCCTTGAAAGATGGAAAAAGTGAGAGAGGGCCCCTTATGCCCATCCCTCTGTGCTCTGATCACTTAGAAGTAAGCTACTTGAAGTCATCTAATAGGAAGGGCCCTTTTCAATTGTTAGTTATAATGCATGTTACATTTTCATTTATGATATTTTATTCAGACAAGAAAGTCTACCTTCTTTAGGTCTTTTCTTCCTGACATTTAGGGGTAGCAATTCTATTAAGTTCTCACCCTGGAGCACAGTGTACTTTAAAAAGAAATGGTGCCATTTCTTGTCTCCCTCCAACTCCTCCTTTCCTCCGTATTGTATCAGTCAGATTATAAAGCTGAAGGCAGAAGCTGTTTGATGGTTTTGGTTTTTTTAAAACATTGTCTGTAATACCCTTCCTAATCAGATCACACCAGAAAATAGATCCATTCTGGTTGATATGAGAACCATCTTATATCCACCAGAATCTCTGTGGCACCCAGTAATTCAGCTCAGTTTTAAAATGACAGGAGGGACTGAGCAGATCCGTCATAAGGAATAAGGCAAGGGGTCCTTTAGCATTATTAGCACAGTCTCTTGTGCTAGTTTTAAGAGTCTATGAAATGCCTACTGCTTTACTATAATTATATGGTGAGAAACAAGCTTTTTTGTGTGTGAGACAAGAACATCGAAAAAGGGACAGAATGGAGAATGCATCTGAGAAGTGTGCTAAGCCTTCTGTTGTGTATTTTTACAAAGAAAGGGGGGCACAGATGAGACATTACTTATATCCCACCTCATTTCCCCTCTCTCTTCAATCCAAGTGGTACGATAATTTCCCATATGGAGGACTCTGAATGTATGAGGCATGAAAATCTGTGTCTGTGTCAAGGGATTATACTGATCCCCAGGGTGATTCTAGCTAGGCCAATTCCCTTGATGATTTACGCTAGTCCAAACAGACCAGCAGGATCCATGTGGGTGGCACAGCAGCTGTCCAGAGACGGCTGTACCAGGGATCTTACATGTGTTCTTCAATAGGAGTTCTTCTGAAAAGATCCTTGTCTCAATCCAGTGAGCCCCAGTGCAAATCACCACTTGGATTGAAGAGAGAGGGGAAATGGGGTGGAAATATTTGCCTGAGCTTCTTCTAGCTTATGGCATTCTGGAGGGAAGCAAAGTTCGCCCACATGATCCCTGAATAGAAGCATTTTTTCAAGGGGGCAAAGATGCATCACAACATTTTGCTCTAGGCTCCATTTCTACATCCTGGAAAAGTCTCTTGGAATTCTTACCCTTTTGGCAAAGAAAGGATCAAATCCCAAGTTACAGTATACATCCCAAGGTCTGTAAAATCTTTACTAAAACAACTGTGGGCAATTATTAATGACAAGAGGTTGCCAAACTAGAGTTGACAGGATCCCTTGTCATTGGCCATCTTGACCCTAAGGTTGCTTGAAGATGTCGGTCAGCAACGTCTGAAAGGCCACAAAGTCACTGCCACTATTATAGAAGCTGCATGTTGGTGCAATAGCTTAGTGTGTACTTATTTAGGGTGCCCTTTTATAGACTGTTCCTTCAGAAGACACTATATTATTTATTCTTTGGGGTTTCCCCCTCCAAAAAAATCAATTGAATGCATTCATAATCACATTATGTAAATCTAAGTAATAAATGTATAGTGCTTTTACTTTGCTAAGCAAAACAAATACTTGACTAGCATGAATTATGAAATCAAAGGGATCTAGAGTGGAACCTGTTCAGCTCAGTATACTGATTTAGTCAACCAACCCCACTTTAAAGATTGTATAAAATAAAAATATTTTAAAACCTTTTAGCAGGAAAGCTGGACTCCTTGTCCTTGGCATTTTCTGATGTTATCAACATTGTCTTCCATACAGATGTTTTTGCCATCTCATCAGAAATATTTATTACAGACGGGTCATCTCTAGAATAAAATTGGCATGCTCAGAGTCTCAAACTACTGAATGTTACCATTTAGTGCAGCCAAAGAAGAAGTGTGTCAGTCTGTTTTAAGGTATTCGTTCAAATTACCCCCTAGAATGGTGTGAAATTTATGGGGTGGGCAATTTATTTCAAAGGAGATTCAGTCAAAGCATTCTTCAAGTTGAAACTTTTGATCAAATGAATTGAATTATTTGCCCTCTAGTTTGGAGTGATTCAATTGGATTTCCTGGTTGAGTTCAGAATGTGGCAATAACATTCAATGATTATTTTTCACCCTATTGGTGCCACCTTTGTTCAAACACCTATTTTCCTGGACCCCATACCATTTTCCTGGTTACCATGAGGGGCTCAGTAAAAGGTGGTTTCTTTCAGGAGTCACCAACATTGAGGTGTGCATACATCCCCTCCGAATTTCCTTTCCCATTTCAAAATTGAGTGGCTGTGCACCATTAGGAAGAGCTATCCCTCCGTGGCAAAGGATCTGCTTTTCACATGGCAACACACACACACACACACCCAGCTTGATCCCTGGCACCTCCAGGGGCTTCTGGCTGAGAGCCACCCAATAGGCACTTTTAAGAGCCAAACCAGAAATAAGTTAGGAGATATATAATCAATTGCTAGTTTTTAATTTTGCACCAGTGTTATCATCATAATAATCAAAGGAGATGCAAAGACTTTCTTCTAGCATGGAATGAAAGCTGGGAGGGGGGATTTCAATAGAAATAACAGAATTTGGTTTAGATCTTGCTGGATAAAGGGGGAAAATATTTTTTATAACTTTAATCGTGGTTTAACTGGAAAAAATGGATGGGGGAAATAGTTAAATATACTCATCCTCAACCCAGTTATGAAACAACTGCATTGCATCTCTTTTGGTTCTAAAGCATCAAGAGAAGCCAAGATTCACTTCCTCACTGACAGGGAACCCAATTAGTTCTGAGTAGTTTACCTGCAGTGTCCTTCAAGTGGCAACTGGACTGTTCCTTCCTCTTCCATTGCTAACATACTTTGTTCCTCCTAAGACAAAAATAAAATAAAATGGAGAGGGTGACCAATAAATTATTGCAGCAATATTGCAGTTTTCCGATCCAATCCCTTGCCCTTAAAAAGAGCATAATTTCTTCACTTCTTTTCCATCCAAATGCTTTTTTAAAAAAAATGTTCTGAGAAAATGAAATGTCGTTTCGGTGGTTTTTCTCATTCATAAATCCTATTACATGTTGTAGATGCCAGAAGTTAGGCATTTCCTCTCCCCTGCCAATTTTGCTGTACAAATAGGATTAGTAAGTGAGAAAGGAAAATAAAAATTATGAAATTAGAGAGATAGATAGATGGTAGATAGATAGATGATAAATTGATGATAGATGATAGATAGATAAATAGATGATAGACAGACAAATGATATAGATATATATCATAGATATCTAGAAAGATAGATATAAATAGAAGTTAGAAGATACTGTAGATCAGTGGTTGTCAATCTGGTCCCTACCGCCCACTAGTGGGCGTTCCAGCTTTCACGGTGGGCGGTAGGGGTTTTGTCCCCTACTTTATAAATCGCCATTACTGTGGAATCGGTGGGCAGTTAGAGAAAACTTTATTACTAACAGAGATACAAAAGTGGGCGGTAGGTATAAAAAGGTTGACTACCCCTGCTGTAGATAGTTCATTTGTAGTACTTCTCTCTTGTTTTGTGTGTAATTCCTGTTCATCTCAATAGAAACAACACAATTACATTTTGGGAACATTCTGTATCTTCTTTCATTTCAAGATATTTTTCTCCTCCATCAAGCAGTCCAGCTCAGCCAAACAATACTGATTCCTTGTCCTGGTTTTGCCCATTGGCAGGAAGCTGAAATCAGTTATGGAGTCCTTGGTGCTTGGCTTTCAATTTAAGTAACATTATCAGTCTATAAGCAAGAGAGCAACCAGGCTCAGAGAGCACCAAGGATTCTATAGTTCAACCTTGAGCTACAAATATTTTCTTAAACCAATTGCCTTCTTGGAGTCTTAGGGTCAACTGTGCTCCGATTTTGCTAACTCTTAAGTTTGTTTCCATTCAAAAATCAGCGACTGTTGATTATTTTTAGGCTTTTTTAACTCAATCTACTGGACAAATAGCCAGTACAGGTATTATTAGCTCAAGGGTCATACTTGATAAAAGAAATACTATAGTGAAACTCTTGGTTTGTCAACTATTATCCCCTATGGTTTGGAAATGTTATTGCTGTAGATGCAGCCTAAAATTACAGTTGCCTTTTAAAAAAAAACAAGTTTATTTATAAACATAGAACTGTGTGGAAAGGCAATACCAGAAAGCAGCATTCAAATGTGGTCAAGGTATAAAAATGGCCATACAGATTCGTAATAACAAATCTATTCTAAGCACCCCTTTGTAAGTAATGATGACATATGTATTGTGTGGGTAGAGGGAGAATTGGGGGGGGGGGGGGGGTTGGAACAAATGCATTTAAATGACTGTGTCAACATCAACAATACAAGTTAGTTTCCCACTTACTTTAATGGGAATTAAATAAAACTAACTGCCAACTCATTATGATGTGGAACTGTTCAGATAATAGGGTTTCCTTTTTTGGATGTATGTCTGTATCAAATTTAATTTCAATTAGGAATATCACATTAATCCATGACACAATAAGTGGTTGAGAATAAATATTGTTTTCCACCTTGATGTTTAATGGTTACTATTGATGGAAATTTACTGTTATATTGAAGATCAAGCCACAAAATGAAAATCTTGATCCAGTCAAATCAGACTTTTAAAAACATCTTGTCAACTTCATTTCTATCTGTATGTGGAACAGATTTCTATTTTTAAAGCCAGCATAATGGTGCCTTTCCAATTAAATTCCAGAGGCTCCATGTCAAAAAAAATTACTTCTAGTTAATTTTGTTATTTCTAAGCTTCACAGCTTCCCAGGATTTTGACAGCTGAGCAGGTTTAATAATAGCCTCAAATATTTAGTAATGCCATAACATGTAAAAATAGGGGCTCGGAAAATTACTTGAAAAGGAAAAAAAAAGATTTCTTTCTGTTTTGCTTTCTGCCACTATTCATATTTCTAAAAAGAAAGTGCAACATAGCAAATCAGATCAAAACAAATGCATCCCTGGACAATCCAAAGAAATATCTTGCCTACATTTCACACTTCCCATTGTAGGAGACAGAACATACCACTTCGGCTAGACATGGGTGCATGATTGAATTATTTCTCTACAGAAAAGATGGATAAAAGAAATCTGAAAGCAGGAAAATCCCTACCTATTAGATCTTTATATTAGATCTACCTGTTCCAAGCTGCAAAAATCTAGATAAACAGTAGATGGCAGCAAAGAGTTAGAATAATCAAGAAGTCATTGGTATTTTTGTAGCCATCATCTGGTCATTCTAACTCATGCTATTTCTTATGCACAAACCTGCATGATTCAGAGAATTACTGAGCATAGACAGTTCACTGACATCTTAATGATTTCTAGGAATAACTTAACTTTGAGTGGATTGTATCTGTAATTATTTCATTTTGCGCTTCATTTAAACCAGAGCTTTGGCTACTCCGTGTGGAAATACACTTCCTGTTTGCGTGAAAAATGTACCAAGAGGCCCTATCAACCAAGCCAAAAATCTTGGTTTATACCTATGTTTTTAAAAAAAGATGACATACAAATCCCCTCTTGGTGAATTGTCCACCTTTATCCACACAGCTACCTGCTAGATTTGCTGCTTCAAAATAGAATTTTAATAAGCTTAGTCAATAATATTGGAGAAGGAACAAAGAGAGAAAATCAAAGAAAAGACACTGCAAGCATACCTCTTTTTCAGCATCTTCAAGCTTTTTTTTCTTGCTCTCTGGCATCAAATCATCCAGCCAGCTTAACTCACGTTTGGTGAAAAAGAAGTCCATGAGTTTTCTGACAAACACCAATGCCAAGACCTAATCCAAATATTTATACTATGATAAGAATATTGACAGGCACAGATGACATATTTATTCTTAGAAGGAAAAAGTCAAAGAATTCAGTTCTAAAATTATTTTGCAAAATTCCCTCAAGCAACACCAATAATTACTGCTATATGCATGTAAGTAATTTATCTGAGTTGTAGGATGAAGTGGGTATGATCTGTAACAGAAATGTTCTATTTTCATTATGAAAAAGAATTCAGTAATAATCACATCCATGCTCAAAATGACTACTGTTCCTTAAAGACAACACTGAATCTTATACGAATTTAGAAATAACGGATTCATACCATCATCGGAAATACAATGGCAGCTTTTGAAACTTTAATAACCCATAGTAACACAAGAGAGCTCAGTTGGATTACTGTGAAGAGATGGACTTTTCGAAGGGGAACATGCCTTAAGTAGATGAAGTCTGGCTGGTGTTTGGCAGGCATCCAGAATAACTTGATTCTGTCAAAAAGCTAACAAAGAACAAACTAATTGTTTATACTTAAGAAAATACATGATTTTAGAGATCTTCAAATGAAATGTTTAGGAGAACAAGGCAACTACTATGGCAAAACAAAGGCTTGTCCACTACTTATGAATTCCCATGATTCCTCATGCGTGTGATTCCTCATTCCTGAATTAATCTTCTGAATTAATCTACCATAATTCAGAAAAGTTTTTAGAATTTCCAGTATCGCCGAGAAGTTCTTTAGCAGATCCAGAGTGAGATTGAAATAATTCAGAAATAATACATCTTGAGCCATGGTGGCACAATTGTTAGAATGCAGTATTGGAGGCTCACCAGGCTCAAGGTTGATTCAGCCTTCCACCCTTCCGAGGTGGGTAAAATGAGGACCCAGATTGTTGGGGGAAATAGGCTGATTCTGTAAACCACTTAGAGAGGGCTGTAAAGCAGTATATAAGTCTAAGTGTTATTGCTATTGCTTGTGATCTGCATCTAAATTCCATTCTTTCAATACACATCTGAAATTTTAAATAACAAATAAAACATACATATATATAAAATAGCCCTCTTCCAACCTTTTCCTCCCAATTCAAATTTAACTACCATCATACTCCAGCTAGCATGGCCTTTGACTCTTCACTGGGGTTGATGGAAAGTTCAATTCTAACATACCCAAAGGATTCTTAGGATTCTGGGGAAAACTGGTTGAAATCCATGAGTACAGACCAATGTAGCAAAATAATTTGGCAGCAGTCATTCCAGAAACTCAGGAATGGAGCAGAGAGAAATTTTTCTCACTGACTATTGAAAATTGACTGATTCACCTGAAGGATTGGAAGTGGCCATTTTCAAACCTGTTCTCTTCCCTTCGTCATGTGTGCGCACACACAAAAACACACACTCACACATAAACACACATTTATAGTAAAAATATATCAGAAAGATATATAATGGAATTTGTTGAAATCATAATAAATCTATTCCTTTTACTGAAATTTCATTTTGTACATTTGATGGTATTCTTTGTTGTCAACACTATATAGCGATCTTGTCTTTTCACTTACAAATAAATAGTTTCCATTTTAACTACCCATAAGGATTTTTTTCCTCCAGGTAAGCATCTTCCACAATGCCTTTCCCTTGACCCCACTTATTGTATTAGCATTAATAACAAGAACTCTCGGCCTCTCTGAAAAAAATCTAATAAACAGGGAATTGTGATAACCCATCTCATAGTGGATGTTGGATTAAAAATACTGTTTGTTAATACTGAGTAGTTCCTAAATCCCAGAACCATACGACAAAGGTGACAAAGAGTAGATTGGGAAGCTGAAATGACCTAATATATCCTTACTAGCTATTGTGTCTCTAAGTTTCCCAAGCAGGAAACACATAGCAAAAAGTGGTGGGAAAGGAATCGGGATCATAGGCCCAGTAATAGGTCAGATGCAAGCTAGAATTCTGGCAGTCTAGAGATATGACTCAGAGCTTTGGTACCAATGCTGAAGTTTAGCCACCTCTTTTTATGTAGGCTGCACATTTTTCCACATTTGTGTTATGCTGTCCCAGCCAGTCTATGGGAGTTGGATAGTTACTTAGGAATTATGAGCTGTCCCCTTAAGGGAATGCATCGTGGTAAATGTAGTTAAAGGTATCCTGGGAAATGTAGTTCATATCACGTGGCCACATCTGTAATCCTGATTGGGCACTAAATTGACCCTCAGTGGATCGGGGGAGTTTTCCTCACTTTTGCCTGAACTCCCTAACTCATGGGAGCTGCTTTCTATCGCTACGAGATGGGTTAAGAGATAACCATCTTTTACTACAAGGCAGATATACAAAGGATTGGTCATTATAGAAGAATTTCATCACAACTGTGAGTCATGAAGATACCTGATGTACCAATAAATGTACTTTGTTATGGATGTTTTGTGGAATTATCTATCTGCATCTGCCCAGCTACAAATCCACCTCTGTGCATGAGACAGGAAATGTATCCAATTTAATAATGCAAAGCAAGCAGTAATAACTTAGTTGTGTTGACCACGGCAACAAAAGAGACAGGAACATAAATATTTCACATCCTTCGCTTTACCTGAATTCCTTTGAGAGACGAGGCACCCATGTAAAGAAATACACCATAAAGTACTGGCATGGGAATAAACTGCAAAGAGTAGAAGGAAAATGTATATCGTCTCAGTAAATTGGTAGTGACAGGAGGCATGAAAAAATGAAGAACCTGGCAATTTATTTATTTATACTGTACTTTTCCATCCATATCTCACAGAAGAGCAGATAGAAGGTGACACTGTTACTGTAACATCAGCCTGCAGGGTTTATATGGGGAGCCATGCTGTATTAGTTTTTGGCTTAATTTAATGGGTAAACTCAGAAATTGTCGATTACAATTTATGGCTTTAGCAGGTCACCATAACTAGTTCAACAAACCACAGTTAAAAGATTATGAGAGCCCAGCCATTATGAGAGTAGGGCAGCAAATAAATGTAAATAACTAAATAAATATATAAATACATAATTTTTTTTTTCAAATTCTTTGACCTTCACCCTGCTTCAAATTCAGCTTTGTTCACAGAAGGAAAACTTTCTCTTGAAATTTTGTCATGCCCAGCAAGGTCTTTCGACTCAAATAGAATAGATTTTTTTTTTAATGAGCTGCTGGTCAGATGTTTGAAGAGAAAAAAGAGCTTATCTTAACAATCCCTTGAATTTTGCCATTTTTTTTTTGTGAATTTATTAAATGAAATGCCAATTTATTACATCATTGAAATGTTAACGATTCTATGTGGCAGAGGGAACTTGAGTTAACCATTACTAGAATTATTTAAATTATTACTGAATAGGTATTACTCATATTGAATTAGTACTATAAATATATAGTACTAATATTTAATATTTATTATTAGTACTATAAATATATGATAGCGATAATGTCTTTCTAGTCAAATATTTAGTCTATGAAGCTCAGGTCTATCTAGATGGACAACAGTTCTCCAGGATCTCATCCAGGTGTCTTTCTAATATTTTGCAACCTAAAATCCTTTCTTTAAAAAGGAAATTTGAACCCGTGGACCTCCAGATCCAAAACATACATTTTATTATGAAATGGACAAAAAGTGCACAACAAAAGTACAATTTATTTGTTATGAAATAAGAATCCGTATGTTCCAAATTGACATCAGATGTATGAAAATTCAATTCACTTTTACTTTGGGTTTATGAAGTGTATACTTACTTTAAGCACTCTGGTTAAAAAAACTGAGCAGCCCATAAGGATAAATATCATGAGACCAGTGACCCGTTGCTCGCGAATGCCAAGAAATTTGGGCTGCTCTCCTGGAGCTGAACATTCGGATTCCAGTTTCAAGCTGTTCACGTGAGAGATTGACAGGACAGTGGCAGCCACAAACCAAGGCAGGCCCATGATCGAACACACGCCAAGCATGAGGGCCACCATCAGCAAGTCCAAGTGATAGCCACAGCCTTTCTGTTAAAACAGAGGTGACAACGGACAAAGCTAGAAGGATAGGAGGCAACATCTACTTAGATAGAGTATGACCCAACAGTTGAACTTAATAAATGTTTATATGCCAATAAGTGAAAAGTATATGAAATTGTATGAAAATTTCTTCTGTTTTTCTCTCTTATAGTGTATCAACTATTCTCAATCTAATATCTTCTGTCCTAGATGGGATTCCGACAGATGAAGTCCAATACATCTAGAAGCCATTGGATGGGAAAGATTCATAGTCGTTGTTGTGGTTCGCCAGCAGCCGGTATGGACGGCAGAGGTATTGGACAGTGAGGACGAAAGGGAGTCTGGTGAGGACTTGGACGGAGGGTCCTGCATCTGATGCAGAGATGGGGCCAGGACTATCTAAGAGTGGGATGCTGCTTTCGGAGCCTTTGGAGTGTGGCAGCAGCGAAGCAGAGGATCCCAGGGAGCCTGTTCCCAGTGTGTGTGTGCACAGGGCTGCTAAAAGGAGAGAGCAGCTGAAGCAGCAGGGGTGACTTGGGAGTAAGGCTGGGAGGTGATTGCCCCTCCCATAAAGGATAAAAGCCATCCCTTGGTGATGTGCTCTTTGCAGGAAGCAAAGAAGTTCATTAGATTCTGATTTCTCATCGGTGCCCTGCAGACTCTGGTTTATCTTTGCTGGAACTTCTGTCGGTTTATCTGTTAATTAAGTGAACATCTGTTTCTTGGCAGCCTTTTACAACCCTGAAAGGCATGCTCTTATCCCAGACAAATTGTGTTTATTGAGTTTTGGCTGGGAATGCAAATAATTCCCAGCATCACATTAAAAAAGGTTTGCTTTTACACATAGCGTGTGTTTTGTTGATTTGAATGAAGCCTGAGTCAGAACAGTCATATACAAGAACAGATCTATCTTCAGCTCCTTCTATACATTCTTTGTCCAGGTGAGAAACCACAGCCCAATGCTTGATAGATTGTACTATTTCAAGGGTGTTATTTTATTCCCATTTCTCCTTATCTAATAACTTTAGGTTAAAACCTTCAACTCTCTAGACACTAGCCAAGTTAGTGTATGGATGACAGAAATTGTAACTCAAATGATCCAGGAGATATTAATTTTGATGTGATTGTTTTACAGTGTCACAGGTATTTATTTCTTCATAATGCAATTCAAAATAACATCTGAGTCCACTAAGTGTGTTGGAACCAGTTTCAAATTACATCTTCATTTCTGATGTATAGAACTGTTGCATAAATGCTCCACCAGACAATATTTATGGAATAGCATCTATGCTGGGGCAGGTTTGCCTACTCATGTTAACAAAAAAACAAACAAACCACCAACTACAGTGTCTGACATGCATTAGCCCCCTTTTGCATCAAGAAATATATTCTTTTCTCTACCGACAATCTGTAGTGAAAGATACAAATACAAATATTTTTAAATACTGTCAAGTAGATAATTTGCATTTTAAAGTATGCAGAGAGTCTGGAATAATAAAGTAAAAGGTTAAAATAACTTTGGTGGAGTTACTTTCTTACCTTTAGCTTATGTTCTTTTCTGTTTATAATAACAGCTGTAATTTGTTGGTCCATAAATATCAGAATGGTACAAAGAAGAGCCGGAATTAGAGCAGCCAGGACTGTCCACCAAGGATTGGGACCCAAGGGTGAGACAACCCAGCCACGGTCATCCCTGGTAGGCTAAAAGAATTCAAGCACATTTCAGATAGTTGAAATGTATTAAAACAAAACATCATTTGCCCTGTAAAAAAGGGCAAAATATAATACATGTTATAAATTCAAAATGTTTTACATTAGGTTTAGACCATTATAATACACTGGTGATGGTTCAGAATTTAAAAAAAAATAATTCTTGCAAATTTCAAATGTGCACAGTGCTTGTTCTTAAAATATAAAAGAGTAAGTGTTAAGGAACATATTAAAAATCTATACAGGATTCCACTGTTACTACTGTAAGATCTTTAGGGATTTAACATGGATATTGGAGCAAGGCAAGGAAGTCCTTACTCAGCTTAGTTAAGCAAAGCAATCTGTAGTTCATTTACCCTTTAAATTTATTCTAAAAATTCCTCCATTAAAAATGTGTTATACAAACTTCATATCCCTGATATTTCAATCAAGTTCAGCATGAAATAGCTATAAAATGCATTGGTTGTCACAAATGCCACATTTTTGTGAGGTCTAGCATAACTTGATAAGGAATTACCTTAAAAACATTTGGAACCTGAAGTTTTGGTGATGGGATCCCAAGGAAATAGTCAACTATCACCATAGATAGGATTGTGAGAAAGACAGCAAAGTCACTTATCACAGACCGTACCTGTAAATATTAAGCCAATCATCACTGAGAATGCTAAGAGTTTTCATAGATGAGCAGGAAGAAAAAGCAATTACCAGAAGGTAATTCAACAACCTTACAGAATAAGTGGTTCAAACTACCTGTGAAGCACCTTTGTTGTTCTTTAAAGTCTTCTTCGTGAATTTGAAAAATGTACAGCTGCTTTGACAATTACTCAACACAGACTACAGTCTCTCTCTCTCTCTCTGTCTCTCTATCTCTGTCTCTCTCTGTCTCTGTCTGTCTCTCTCTGTCTCTGTCTCTGTTTCTGTCTCTCTATCTCTGTCTCTCTGTCTCTCTCTCTGTCTCTCTCTGTCTCTGTCTCTCAGTCTCTGTCTGTTTCTGTCTCTCTATCTCTGTCTCTCTGTCTGTCTGTCTCTCTCTCTCTCTCTCTGTTTCTGTCTCTGTCTCTCTCTCTCTCTCTCTCTCTCACACACACACACACACACACACACACTTTATCTGTCTGGAGGGCAGCAATTTGGGAAGGCTGGTTAAATACCCTTTGAAATATGTGAAGATTGAATTGTGAGAAAGCAGCAATGGTAGATTTGGTATAATGCTGGCTACAAAGCAATCTATAACTCTACAGGCTATAAAAAAGGTTAGCACTAAACCACAGGATGCAGAAGCATTTGAGTTTTGGCTTCAGGTATAAATATGCCTAAAGCTGCCATTCTATGAAGAGATGTTAATCTAAGGAGGACCTGACACGTAAAGCATGCTACTTGCAGGTAACCCTTGAGTTAGGATGGACTCTCCAGACATACTTGCAACCAGTTCCCAGGTTCTGATGATTGCTGCCCCCTGAGGTTATATAACTGCAATTTGGGTATTCAGCAACTGTAAATCTACATTTACAGCCATTTGCAACATCCCATGTTCACACCACCATGTTTTACATTTTTGCTGAAAACTGACATTTACTTTTAGTTTTCATCAAAACCTGCTCATAGTGAATAACTGGTTTGTTCAATGACCACAGCATTGGAACAACCATGGTAAAACTGTGCTATTCGCATGACCATGGGACATTGCAAAGCCCAGGACTATCTGCACATTTAAAATTTATAAATTCCCGATTTATTTATTTTGCTGAAAGTTAATTCCTGCCCAGTTTGGAACAAGAAGAAAAGTTGAAACATACTTTCTCTCCTCTCCGTTGCTATTCTCAGATTATCAATGCCCCAAAGGTATTAAACTTCTTTCAAATGCTGTTCCGCAATGCGGAACCAAGATGTGATAGTCATAACGAATTGAGTTGGGGAAACCGTGTCTTGCATCATATGCTTGCAATACTTCTTTCATGATTTGATTGTTAAAAAAATTACCTTGGTTGGGAAATATCGGCTAGTCTTGAACTGCTTCAGTGTGGACGACAGTATGACTGTAGAAAAGAATAAGATGACTGACCAGAAGAGGACATCTGGAACATAAGGCTCATGTTCATGACAGGCTCGTCCAACAAACAGCCCTTTCCAGTTCTTACATTCCTAGCAGAGAAAGTAAAGGCACTGTTTCTGTTTGCTAACCAATGGCATGCTATAAAGCAGAGGTGGGGAACTATGGTTCCTTTATGACTTGTGTGGACTTCAACTCCCAGAATTCCTGAGATCAGCATACTTGGCTCAAGAATTCTGGGAGCTGAAGTCCAGAAGTCATAAAAGGGACTTTGTTCCCTACTCCTGTTATTAAGAAACCAAAGATGGGACTTTACACTCTCGGATCACTAATACTCTTTCACTGTCACGAACTAAAACCTAACACTGAAGGCTATTGTAGACATTTTTTTAAAAACCCCACCCATCAGTTTACATTGTACATTTAAATATCTTACATGTTTGAAACAGATGGGCATATTATGTACAGAAACTCTAATCTGGGTGTCTAGAATTGGCTCTGGGCTTGTCTTGATGGTGCAGTTGGTAGCATACTACATTCTGCTGCTAAAGAAGTTTTAAAAAGTATTACGCCTTTTTATCCCTGCTGCCTGGAAATACTGGAGGAAGATTAAAATGTACATAATCATCCGTGCACTGAAGATGCTACCTAGTTTGGTAGAGGAATGTCTGCAAGCTCAGAGAGTGGCAAGGACCCCACAGATTAAATAGCACCATTTCCCCTTGCTGATTCTGACTTGCAAGCATGGAAAGGGGTTGTTTTTCACCTTCACAGCACTGAAGCCACAGAAATTAGAGGCTTAATTATATCTTTTCTTATCAGCTTTCCCTTTGTTTCTCCCTTCTTTCTGGCCCTTATATTCTGGCTCAATTAAAAAAACACACAAAACTAGTCAAAACATTAAATCAGCTTCGGACAGTAATTTCAAAACAACTAATGGATTAACTGTGGTTTAATGTAACAGGGAGACAGTGAGGAACAAAGTGAGGTCCAGACCTGGATGATATCAAGTTTCATACCAGCTAGTGACTATGGTTACATGAGGAATGTTACTGGAAAGTTCTGAGGTCTATTCTAATCTGGCAGTTCATCTCAGTTTATTAGTAATCATTATTTTACATTTTTGGTAGCAATGTCTTTTGTTCATTTTGTTTTGTTTTTAATCTAACATGTTGCTAATGCAGGTCTTAGAAAAAATTATCTAAGTTTTAACAGCTTAAGGCAGGAAAAGCTGCTTGAACTGCACACGTAAAAAGCTCAAAGCCATTTTCTCTGGATCGGTGTCAAGTAACTGATTTGTAAAGCACAACTTCTGTGATGGAAAACATCAGATTACTATACAAACGTTTAAATAATTCTTCTAGTTTTACATCAGAGAGGACTTTCTTTTGCCACCAGGGGACGATAGACTCCACACAACCGCATTATAATAAAATTTGACATAAGACTCCAGACAAATATTTGAATATTCATTCCAAAAGGCACACATTCTACATGCTATCCCAAGCTTTCCATGGTGCTTTTCTATGTGCAGAAACATTTTGTACGAACAGACATAGCATCTTCCTTAAAATATATTTCTATATCAAACCCTGCAGCACATAATATGCTCATTTGTTCACTGTAAACGTTTAGAAGACCATTTAAATGAGATCTGTCAGCGATCTGCACTATACAGTAGTCTATACGGCTGAACTGACAGATCATTGGGAATTTGCCTAGACTATGTTTTCCCTTCTTAAACAGGGAAGGGGTGGAGGAGAGAACATTTTGAAAGTGGAGTTTTTTGCAAGTAAAAACACGAAAGGGTTAGGATTCCTTGCCATAGGTTCTAAAGCATGGTGTCCAATCTTTTAACTTGCCTTGAGTACATTGAGTGAAAAGGAATTGTCTTGGGCCGCATATAACATATATAAATCACATAATAATGTTAAAAGTCTTCCATCATGTGGACTCCTCGCTGCTAGCTATCTAGGGCTACCTGTGGCTTGGACATGCCTATTCTAAAGTAGCCTAAGGAGTCATTTATCCAGGAAAACTGGTTTCCAAGGAGGATTTCTCTTTGCAAAACTGAACCGGGGTTAGTACTTATCAATGCATCATAAACCTACTCCATTACTATTGTCAGCCTTACTGTTGCTCTGTTGGAAGTTAAAACCTACCCCTCTCCTAGAAAAATGAAATATTTTAGGATATACTAAAAAGGCAGAATATTTCCCCTAAAAGAGAAGAAGAAACTCAGAGAGGCAGAAACTCAGCCCTCCCACCTTTGTTAATGGGCCATTAAGGCCTGGGCCAATCTATTCTACATAACAAAGATCTACCTCCTTCAGGCCGAGCCATTGAATTGCCCTTCATTGCACCACCCACCAAGTTTCAACCAAACTTAGCACACAGACAACCTACAAAGCTAGCTTTGACCTCTGACAGCAACCAGTCAGGATACTCTTCCTGTGCCTTAGGAAATTCAAAGCCCAGAGAGGGCATAAAACTCAGGGACTCTCAGCATCTCCTCTCTTTTACTGCCCAGGGAACCTATCCTGTTCATCAATAAACCATTTTTCCAAGCGGCTTCCATATTTCCAGTGTCTTTTCCCCTGCTTGGAACTGAACCCAGAAGGATATTTCTTCCAACAGCTCCTTCTTTTGCATAGCTAACAAGAAGGCTCCATCACTTTCTCAATTACTAGTTGGCCATGAAGCAGGAGTAATGGTTTTTAAAAAAACTATGGGGTTATTCACAAATAAATAAGGTCTAGATTATTTGATATCTCTATATAGTACCCAGGAAACGATTAAAAGGGTACCACTTCTGATTGATTAAATATAACGACAGAAAATAGAGAAGAAGGAAATGTATGACTCAAAAATCTTCCTTCAGGTTCACAGACACTAACAAGTGTGATGCTATAGTATTTGCATAATTGAGCTGCTTAAGCCAGCCTGCAATTTTAAAAACCACAGTACTGAGAAAACCAAATTTATATTTTAAAAAGAGGGTTTTTTTTTTAAATGTCTCTTTGTTTCCATTTGTTTTAGCTTCTCCTACAAGCTTTGTATTTTTCAACCACAAAAAAAGTATTTTAACCTTAGATTCAGGCTAAATAATTGTATTCATATACAAACATGGTTTGAAACTAATAATCCCAGGGCTGCATGTATCTCCTTAAAATACTCTTTTTGTGTCATCCAGAGTTACTTGGTCCTTCCTAGCCCAAAAACTTCAGGGGAAAAAAAGAAAAGAAAGCAACCCAGTTCATCCATACAGGTTTAAGACAAGATCCTCCTATTGCTGCCCTTAACAATGTCCTCATTCCACATATTCAGTGTGGCTCTTTGCAACCAAAAGGGTATCCAATAACAACATAATATGCTACATACAGTTTCATAAAATGCCCTAAAGCACAAATATTTCTACTACAACCATGCAGTCTTCGTAATATTCTTCTGATGCTTTACAAAGGGCTCACGCTGTTCTTAGATAAAACTTGTTCCCATATGATATACAAATCAGGTTGTATCACAATTCTGCACTAGTGGAATCTGAACAGTTGAAAATTCTTAGAAATATTTTCCAATATTTGGAAGTTCTGTGGTGAGAAGCCAGAGTTACCAAGATGGTGACATAGATATAATAATAAATAACAATAACAGTTACACATTTATTATCAAGATTGTTCTTCTTTAGCATTATCTGCACTCATATGATAGGCAAGCTTGTCACAAGGCTTTGGGGATCATTTATTAACAAGGAGCTTTGATTATGTCAGGCTAGGATTAAATCTAGGAGATTTATGCACATCAGAAGGCAATCAGACCAGTCTTGTCTTCCCAGACATGTATTTTTAGGAAGCCAAGTCATTCAGAGGCTAGAAAGATCCTTAAATAGATTTTAGTAGAAGCTAATGATGATCATAGTTCATTATCAGAGACGAATTGGAAAGCATATTTACGAAAATTCTGTACATTGCCTATTTTTATCCCTGTGAAGTGATATCACTTATGCTGGGGCTCCTTTCATATATATATAAATATAAATATAAATATATATATATATATAATATATGAAATATATAAGGATATTTGTATACATTTTACAACTTCCCTCTTAGCAAAATTCTCAGGCCACTCAGATTAATGCTATCCTTACTATTTACTGTCTAGCTGGAATGACAATGTTTGATTTTTCTTTGTTTACTTATTTCAAAAAGAAAACATAATAAGCATTTCAAAAGCTATATCAGAAAACTTAACCACTAATGAAAAGCCAAAATGAAACTCAGAATAAGGGCCCACAGTCAGTTACCTGCAACCCAAAGTATGGTGGGATGGAACAGCTTAAACTGTTTAGAGCAGGAGTGTCAAACTCAACGCCCGCAGGCCAGATCTGGTCCATGGGATGCTTAGATCTGGCCCATGGGGCCACCCTGGAAATAGTAAAGGACCAGCCTGCAGTGCTTCTGCCAGTGGAAATGGAGCTCCATTTTCACTGGCAGAGCACCTGGGCCATCATAGACGCCTCCGACATGAGTGACATCTAGCTGGCCACACCCACCATGACCCCACACATCATGGGCACATCCACCATGGCCACACCTGAGGTAAAACACAACACTGATGCCGCCCTAAATGAAATCAAGTTCGACATCCCTGGTTTAGAGAATTGCAACAAGGTGGGGCCTCCCACAACTGCCCTGGAGGAAATTAGTTCAAAAGGTAGGGGCTACTATACAGAAAGCAGGGTCAGTTTATCTTCTGCGTTTTTCCCTTCCTGCTTGCTTTTGTTTTTATTACTGTGCTATCAGTCTTAGCAGGTCTCCTGGTTATCGACCATAATAAAAAAAAACGTCATATTGATTCGCATTCAACATGTTGGTAAAAAAAAGAGTTTGTGTTTATGACTTCCCTACTATCTTATGGCCTACAGAAAATGCTATATGGATGGCAAGGAATTTTTCAAAACGGAATGAAATGTGGAGCTAAGGGCAGATTTCAAAAGGACCTCCACCCCCAGTTCAACAATTTGATGGAAGTAAGTTCTTTTACTTGAGATCAGAATCTGCTTTTTTCAGGGAGTACAATGAAATACACAAAGCCACATTTCCTAGAGTAGATCCCTATTATCTGTCCTCAGAACTGATTATCAGGCATATCTGGTGCCTTATCTTCCTTCCCTTCATTGTGAACACTTTTAAAAGAATAGTCAAGGCACATCTTATTTTCCAGGATTCGATTTGTTAACTAATTTTAGCATAAATCATAATTCATGTTTTGAGACTTTTTATGCCCTTTATGTTTTATTTTTGGCTAATCATCTTGGATGCTCAGTTGTATAGCAATGAGAGATCTATACTGAATGAATGAGTAAGTATTAATACTGTAACTAGTTTACAGACTGGGGAGAACAGCCTGACATTAGCCTCTGTATACTACCCAGATATATTCCATAGGTACACTTTGATTGAATTCATGATAAGATTTGGTGACATACTTACAGTCACAGTAAGATTTGCCCAAGGTATTGCAAATGAGGACATGTTCTTTGACTGCCAATATTGTAAGGTAGTATTGCTTGGGTTATCTGGTTCCACACAGCTGCATCTGAAAAACAAATCGATGGTTGGTGTTAACTCAATCAGAAATGAATAATTTAATTCGCCATCACTTTATAAATTGTCTGGAACAATCACATATAAATTAAAGTTGGTTTAATTCAGCCCTGAATGATACCAGACATAATTTTCCAGTTCCAGCAATGCAGCAATGGAATTGAAGTACTCCTGTGTTAACGTTTATTAAATGTTACATAGGATGCTTGTTTTCATAGTATATTCCAAAAGTGGCCTGGTGATTCATTTGTAAAAGCCCTCTATAAAATGCAATCTCTCCCTCAGTCCAATTGTTTTTATTATTTATCCTTTATTTATCCTTATTATTGTATGTCTAATCACACTTGGCCAAATAAAGTATTCAATTCAATTGACAATTGTCAATGCTCCACTTTGAAGGAAGATGATGAATCTACAAAACTAGGTTCTCAGCAGAACAAAATTTTATTCTGTTCAGAAATGCACTTCACTACAGTGTTAATTGAGGAGGACTGCATCACTAGAAAGGTTCTCTGAAAAACATGAGAGAATATATAACTGTTGTGAATCATTTTTGTTAAAATCATGGTCCACATTCACACGTTTAAAAAGAGCACAAATACATAACCCTTCTTCATTCACTAACAGCTCTCTGCATTGCAATTATGTCGGAATTCCTAACTTCGTATCATTGAAATCCTTTATATCATTACAATAATTACTTTACAATCATTCAGTGTGAATTATTCTCAAGAAAAGGATGCAAAGGAATAATAGATGAAAAATATTCTGTTCCTGTATCTTTTTATCAATTTCCTACAGTAAAAATTAATTGGATGTTGTATTTTGTAATAATTTACTTTGCTTTAGTTACAGCTGACTGAAAGCTTTGCAATATCTATTCACAGATTTATGAATCAGATGATAAGGCTCCAATTGTACAAATATAATCTCCTAACAATAATTCATAAATTCATATCTTTCAGGTTTATTACCAAAAGTAAATCTGTAGGTTGATCGCATTCCAGGACTAAACCAGCATTCTAAGTGGATACAATTGGATTGTACCATTATCCAAGGAATGGTGTGTATCACATCAGTCAGAAGAACTGCAAGAAAAGTAATTGTGCGGACTCCTTCTCAATCAACTTTTACCAAATTCCTTGGTTTGTCTCATCTCTTGAAGAAACCTTGGGAAGTCATTATGTATGCCTATGAACTCCCAATTACTCCATGAACTCCCAATTGTTCCAAAGCATACATGAAGCGTAAGCATAAGATTGTAAGTATAATGCAGGTATTGGCTGCTGGTGACATTGCCATTCTGTCCTATTTACCAATCAAAAAATCATCAGAGATTGAAAATATTTTCTAGCCATTGGTTGCATGATTAAATGGTTCCTGAAATTTCATAAACTTTTGATTAGAAGCCATTTGTATTTCCTGATTCATTAAATGAACTCACTTACATGAATTTGGTTACCAATTGATTTCTGTACTCAATTCAAAATGCTGGTGAAGATCCATAAAATACTTTATGGCTTGGGATATGGCTAACTTCAGGGTCATCTAATCCAAATAAAGATTGCCTATCCTGTGCAGGGAGGATGCTTCTGACTCTCTGTGTTCCCATCATGTGAAATATTCTTGGCTGATATTTTGAACGAAATGACTGAAACTAAAGAACACTTAAAATGGCACAATTAGACATAACAAGCCTCCGAGTAATGCCCGAGCAATTCACTCTGTCTCATCTTCCTCAACATAGCTGTTAGACTCAAATGGAGCATTAAGTATAATTTGCTATGGTGCACAAATCAATGTTTATGTATAAACAGTAGTTTTGAAATTGCTAGCTGGATTTAAGCATCATATAAAGCCTGGTGTGGCCATATGGCACCCAGAGTCACCACTGTGCTTAAAAAATCCATTTAGTATCTACCAGACTTCCTTCCCTTGACTTTTCTCATTAAAACTGTTGGAATGAAAGATAACTTGGTCTGGAGAAACCTTTATTTCTGGGAACACCTTTCTTTTTCAAGAATAATTGTCACTTCAACCCAGAACTTGGTTGAAATTGATCCAACTGGGCAGAAAAATGGATTAAAATAAGCAGGAACCAGACTACAAAGAGAAACAAAGATGCCTGTTGAGGAGAGCACATGATGACATGTGTTCAATGTCATTACACAAATGTCCTGACTTCAATATTTGTATCGGATTGTGAGATTTCAGTTTATAATGGTAACACTTGCATAATGGGGGTGCGTACCATCATTTTGGCATTATTGTAGGATAAGTAGCATTCTGATAAATAGGTGTTAAACCCAGCAGAACTCCTATTCTGTAAATACTCTCCGTCTGGTGATGTTACCTAGTCTGGATAATAAACCATCTGTAAGGAAACCATCAAGCTCAGAGAGCACCAAGGACCTTTCATTTCCACCCTGAGCTACACATATTCTTCTTTATTGGGCTCAGCAGATACAGGTCATCCTTATGGCCACAATTGAGGCCTAAAATTTCTGTTGCTAAGCAAGACAGTTGCTAAATTATGCTCCATTTTGCGACCTTTCTTGTCATAGTTGTTAGGTGAATCATGGCAGTTGTTAAATTAGTAACACATCAGCCAGTAATCTGGCTTACCTATTGACTCTGCTCATCAGTTGATCGCAAAAGGTGATCACATCACACTGTAACAATCATAAATACATGCCAGTTGCCAAAGATCCAAAATTTGATCATGGAACCACAGCCATGGTCATAAGTGTGAAAAATGGTTGTATGTTACCGTTTTCAGTGCGGTTGCAACTTCGAATGGTCACTAAATGAACAGTTTTTAAGTTGAGGACTACCCGTACTCTGCAGGAGTGCCACACATTCTCAACATTTCAAGTTGCCCCCCGGCTCTAGAACTTGGATCCTGCCCCGTTAAGCCATAATTTGTAATATTAATATAAATAATATTAATTCACCCAGCACTATGTTGTTCCTTCTGGCTTTCAGCAGATTACCTCAAGCAGAGAAACCTTTCTCTCAGAATATTAATCTTTATTTTATTTTTTAATACCAACTGGGGATTGAACCTGGGCATAAAAGGCCTCTGTTCTGTTATTAAGCTTGATAAGAGTTGCTAATATCAATTTTCATGATTGTCATCTGGGGATTTGTAGCAAAACTAAATGAAAAGGTTAGGGATAAACAGGAAGAAGGGATTATAAAATAAGGGATTTGGCTGGAAAACAAACAAGATCATACAGTGGGGTAATTCTATTTGCAACTTCTAGCCCCATCGAAGTTTTTATCATGTTTCAGGAACAAAACAGAGATTTTATTTTTGTCATTCCATTTGGAATGATATGCAACTATACTGTGGAAACAAAGTCCAGTTGCCTTTTGAACAAGCACCTCTGGGATTGTAGAAAATAAAAATAATAATTTGCCCCCTACTATGGGAAACAAATAGTAGTGCAAAAGAGGTTGGATCAGTTTTATCAGGACACGCAAGAATACTCCACCTTGTCATACTGCAATATACTTTGCCTGTTTCCCAGCTGCTGTTAAAATTCATTCATGTCAAAAATGAATTATGAAGCTAAATGAAAGATCTACAGAAGATGTCATGTAGGTATCCAAGCATTTAAAAAGAAACTCCAAAGCAACTGTGGATCCAAGGAGGGAGATTATTTTACACATTGTTTTTTTTTTTAAATGAAGGGAAAAACCATCTAAAGCAGACAATGAGCTTTTCTATCCAAAACTTTGACATATAATATAAATGTGTGTGTGTGTGTGTGTACACAGAGAGAGAGAGAAGGAGGGAGGGAGGGAAGGAGGGAGAGGGAGAAGGAGATATGCACACATACAAATGTTATCTTCAGATCTAGAAAGTATTTTTTGACTTGGGCAGCTAAAACTAGAAATTGGAGCAATTGATTAAAAGAGATGCAGGTTTTCCAAATTCTCTGTTCCAAACAGAAAAGAGTATTTGTAGTTCAGGATGGAACTATGGAATCCTTAGTGCTCTTTAAGCTTGTTATTTGCTTGCAGATGTTTCATTACCAGAGTAGGTAACATCATCAGTCTGTAAGCAACCAATCAAGTTCAGAGAGTATCAGGGACTCCATTCTATCTCCTCCTCTGTCAATCATTCCACACCCACTGAACAACCTCAGGAATGCCTGAGTGGTTCTAAATCCCCTCCCCCACTGAAGAGTGACGGTGTATAAGTGTATTCATATGTGTGAACATACACATTGTCTGACAAAAGTACCAGCACTTGGAGACTGAATTCTCTATCAATGTACATACAGTGTATTTAACTACATGTGTACATATGTTAGCATATGGGTGTGCATCTGTTTATATGTCTGTGTGTGTGAATAATGTACAGTATTCTTCTAAGACTCTTTTTGTTGTTTTTCTATTGTTTTATTTGATACAGAGTAAAAAGTTTAAATGTGAGCTGCTGTCCATAAGATTTCAATACCTCATTGCTGCTGTATATGGGAGAAGCTCACTGTTGGCCTCTCTCTCCTTCTCTTAAAAAATTAGCTTTTATCAGTCCTGCAATAGAGACTTCATGGAGACTTTCCTACATCAATGTTTACAGACAAGCTTGAAAAGGAACTA